ATGAATGAAATTCGTCTAGATCTTGGTCTAAACGCCATAGCTGATTTAAACAAGCAAAGGCGTATCCTTAGTCTCACACACAGTTTTTAAATAATAGATAAAAGTTTAATGATTTTTTTTTTATTCCACGCAGTTCCGGAACGATTTTCTTCAGCTTTACCGCTTCCATTATTAGCCTCGATATGAACATCACATCTGCGGGTTATTGCGTTAATAATTTTCAAGGTGGCAGCACTCCGGCCATCAATGACATGCTTGGCAAGACACTGTCGCTAGCCGAACTCAAGTCCATACTCATCGCAGCAGCAGTTGATATTTTTCCTGAACCGGATACATTCTGTTACACTGAAGGTACTTGTGAGAAGAATTTCGTGATGGAAATGCATTTGTATGCGTGTATTTCGACGCTGGTGCAGTCGCACAACTTCAGTTGGTCACGTTGGAATCTTTTGGCCGGCAGCCGCACAATTGTATTGCTCATGCGCGAACTAATCGAGGGCAAGAAAGTGGTGAGAATGGACAATGTGCTGATACACATAACTTTAAATATATTAATTGACATCTCTACGTATTTTCTATCTCCCTGGCTAGCCTTATCATTCCACGTTACTCGTGACTCCGCTGAAGACTGCTATAATCGACTGCACTGAAGTTTCACCAAGTTTCAATTCTGCTGGCATCGCTGGCATGGAGTACTATGCCGATCTCTATCAGCTCTCGCAGGTTTATGCGCTCGCCAGTAGCCTTGAGAAGCAGCGAAATATGGATCCGATGCTGCGTGAAAATGTCGTGCGTATTTTGATGGCCATAAGACCGTTGAGCTTTTGTTGAAGGACATAGTCTTTCAGCGTTTTTTGTATTCAAATATTTTTAACCTCTTTTATATAAAATTATAACTACTCAACAAGGTAAAATTTTACAGCTTAGAGCTATAAACGTCACGAATATATCCGATTACTGCTGAGCAAATCTGTGGAAAAAATAAAAATTATTTTTTGGTAATGAGGAGTGAAATGGTGCGAGTAGCGTTCCATAAGACTCAGCTTAAGTTGTTTGAGAACCTTGATTACACTCTGAAAGATATAATATCCACAATTCTAAAGCCTTTAGAAGACTATAAAAAGTATCGTTTCCCTTTCTCATTTGAAATTGTTTGGGTCAATGGCACATAGATGAGAAAATCTCCCTCTAACTTTTATCTGAGTCCAAAACTCTATTGATAATAATTATACTAATTAAATTTCTACTCAAATATCTATCTACACGGTGCCTTATGGTAAGTATTCTTGAGAGATTTCAAATTTGTTCATGATAGGATGATGCGGTGGATAGTATTATATTATCCGAATTTTTGCCGAATTGATCCAAGAATTACCTCTACATACAAGCTATTCCTATAATACGACTTCCAACGACTTCTTCCTATCCTCAGACCTCAGGTGTATGGCCGCTAAACCTTACTCTGTTTAACCTCTTATGGGTTTTGTGTACATATGTTCTCATAAATATAAACTCACCATCAGCTATTTTTTAAATGCTTAATGGATTCCTCGTTTGCTATACAACTTAATTTTATTAACTCAGCGCTCTGAGCATATTCATTACTCTCGCAGATATATAAAGCAAATTGTGAGCAGAATGCTTAAAATAATTCTCAATTATAATGTCTTCACATTCTCTAAGATCTAAGGAATGCAATTACAACATAACAACTATCATCTCCTTCAAACTCTCCTTTGCCCATTTCTCTTCTCTGGCTCACACACTTTCATACGTCCTCGCTTAGGCTACAACACAGCTGCTCCCGTTAATTATATGCCATCTTCTGCGTTTTGGCCGGATGTACGAAGTCATTGCAGCTGTCGTTAAGCTTTGCTAAGTAACCGTTATGCTTAAAGCTGTCAATATTACTTAGGTCACGAGCAGAATTTTGGCATACGAATATCTCTTTGAGTGACTAAATGGACAGACATGCGAGGGCGCACACGACATGAATGCATAATTAATTCAGTATAAAGCAGTCCCATTTCAGTTGTTATCAACTGGTACTGCGCCTTAGTGATTGCTGGCAATGTTTTTTCATACTTCGCGCTTCATATGTATTACACTATACTAACGGTGCAATGCAATTACGAGCACTCGACAGAAAGCGCCCGTAACGTGTCAAAATTTTTATGTTTCGGCAACGCCTTTTAACGAAAGGATATTCTCCGACAACGCATCTGCGTCATTTGAATGTCTGCTTGATTAAGTTGCAAAGTCAAGCCAAAGTCTCACTGGCGGTAACCGTTTTAAACTTGGACGCTTTAAAACAAGTTCATAAGAACACAAAGCAGGTAATGTGAATCGGTATATTTCTGCAGTTTTCCCAGTTACCTTGGCTCATTAAAACTATCACACTTCCAGGCCACGACGCCCCCATACCCGTCAACCGGTTAGTTAGTTGCCAATTGATTTAAGCGTTCTCCCACTTTAACCTCTTCAGAAATCCGTTCGCTCACCGTCGGCAACACTCCGTCACCTTCGACATTTTTACCGCCATTTTCGTGTACGTTGATGTAGCTACTAACGAAAGCTTGTGTAATGTTTGACTTTCGCACTCGGCGCAAATGTACTCGTACGATAGCGATATTTCCTTTGCATTGCTTGTTCTTCTACCTCATACCCCTTCTATACTCTCTAACTGGTTGCTGCTGTCAATTTGCTGGGTTGGAATGTCGCAGTGTTTACCATGCCTCGTCGTCTTCGCCTTCAAAATTACGTTAATTATATTCCGAGATGTGGCACGCTCGTCATACATATGTATATACCTTGAGATCTTTCCAACCAGCCGCCACTTCGCGTTAATGAGGCCTTCATTCTTTCACCCACCCTAAGCACCTCATCTGGCATGCACAAACGTATCACTTGTGCCCACTTTCTTGTAACATTTAAGTGAATTGGAATTTTTAATTAGAGCAGAAGACGGAATAGAACTTAAAAGAGAATATAAAAGAAAGTGGTCAAATAGTTCACTTATTACATTCATAACACCTTGGTTAAGTTAAAAATGGCTGTTATAAATAAGATTTCATATTTTTGCCACGTAGTCTTTAAGTTCAGTTTCGTTCAGTTCTCATTCACGCTGACGCTCAAGGTAATTCTTGCAAAATGTCTTCTGAACTAAATTCTAGTTAGTCAGAGAGTTTCTGTTGGCAGCCATAATGAAGGTCTGAACGTGCTATTTATCCAGAGAAGGGAAACCTGCTCATTAGGTCAAACCCATCTCCTTTGATAATATATTTCTTATCCACAGTTTCAAAATATCTTCATAACTAACTTTATTATAAACAAAACTTCAACCGAAAGTCATCGTATTTTGGTGGAAGGTAATGGTGAACATAGTTAAAATTGGTGATTTTTGCATGGAAGATGAAGAACGACCCGGGTAGCCAAAAAAATTTCAAGATGAAGAACTGAAATTATTACACAATGAAGATAAGCCAATCAAAGAAGAGCTCGCATACTCTTTGGTGAGCGACTGCCGTCCCCCACACCGGGTAAACTCAAAAGCAAAGACATTGGATGTCACACAAATTGAAGCCAAGTGATGTTGAAAAACGATTTAGCAGCACTTCAGAAATGCTACTGGAAGGTACAAAAAATGTCGTTTTTACATCGGGTTGTGGCTGGTGATGAAAAACTTATCCATTAGGACAATCCTTAATGCAAAAAATCATATGCGAAGCCTGCCCAACCAGCCAAATCAATGGCTAAGCCAAATATCCACGACGTTCTGTATTTGGTGGGACCAGGAGGACGTACTGGGTTATGTGCTTCCAAAATCAAGTGAAACCAATAATGCAGATTGCAATTTCCGAAAAACCCCTGGACTTTGCGACTAGACTAGAGGCAATGATTTTCCATCATGATAATGCTCGGCCTAATGTTAAAAAATATTTGGAAAGAAGCGGCTGGGAAGTATTGGCTCATCCGCCTTATAGCCCAGACCTTACCGCTTCTGACTTCCATTTGTTCCAGACGATGCAGAACGCCTTCACCGGAATACGGTTAACGTCAAAATAGGCTGCCAACAGTTGGCTTTATTAGTATGCTTCGAATACTCCCTCTAACTCTTAATAGGCATGGGAATACAATCACCTCTTATTTAAATTTTTACAGATTACTAGTAAACTTTTTAGACTTTTACTTTACAGAATACTTAAAAAGGTAGACTGATTCAAAAGATATGATACTCTGTCAGTTTGGTTGGTTTACAGACACATTGCACGCAATTTTGGTTTAATCCCCTAACAAAAATTTGAGATGATAATGAAACGAGAAACTCGAAAACTTTTTGAATTATTTGTCGGATTCAGAGTTCGTGATTTCAATATCTTTAGAAATTTCTTCTTTAAATTTCATCTTATTAGTTATTTGAAAAATTATGGTTAAACCGCTTCGATGTTTTTTGAGATTTCTTAACTTTCTTAAGACGGTAAAGATTTTTAGCTGGTATTGTGAGTCTCGAAACGTATGACAGTAGTTCGACCAAATATTTTTCAAACACTTGTACCAAATTTGGTTTGGCCACCTTCACATATTCCTAGACGCTGTAAGTATATTTCCGTGAAATGATATTTAAGCTGCGTTTCATATTCACACAATTAATTAACTTTTTGTACAATCCGAAAACCGCCAATCAGTCACGCTTTCACACCAGTCATCCACTAACGCACTCAGTATAATTAAATGTGCGTCTTTATTATTTATTAATAATGCGATTATTTGTTAAGCGCTGATTATTGTAGAGCTTATTGATTAGAGTGAAAGAGAAGAATATTCAATATTTGCTAACGTCAATCAAACACTCCAGAATAAGCACGAACTGAAAGAAAACCCATTGTATGCAACAAACACTATATGGAAACCAGCAAGAATTACTCCACAGCATTGCAATTAAAAATTTCAGTCAATCTACGCAAACCTACGTGTACGGAACTCAATTGATGCCTCGAAAAATGAGGCAACGGAAGTTATTCTTGGGCTTTGCGGTGGTTATTTCATATTTCCTCATACTGCGTGCTATCGAATTGGATGAAGAGAATGTACTGGCAATCACTGCTGAAGACTGCGCTCGCATCACAGCTCTTGGTAACTGTCACTGCGTCCGCGATATAAACAATTTAACTGAAATAAAATGTGCCAAGTCATCAGTAAATATTTCTGTGAACAGTGTGAAAGATGTGGAATTAAACTGTGGCAGTGACTTTTATGTGAATAAGCTCTCAAGCTTACCACAATTGGGCACACTACGAGAAACTACCTATACTACCACATACAACTGCACACACATCACCGAGCTGCTAGCCCAGTTGGCACTAACGCCAAGATCAGCACTGAGTGTACATGGTTTAAAAATGAAACAAGTAACACTCGACATTTTCGGAAGTGATCTCAAACGTTTGCGTAACGTATCCCAATTAGAGTTACGCGGTAATATGAACCCACCAAAGTTGAACGAGACTAAGTTGATGCGACAGGAGCTTGCTGGAGATATACTTACTCCATTGCCCGGCCTTTTTGAACTCATAATCGACTTGAACTTTGCACAACTGCCGACTGATCTATTGAAACCGGTGCCAAATATTAATGGTATTTCTTTGTACGGCGCGCTATTGACATTTCCGAGTGATGTATTTCAATATTTACGACGCCTACGTCAACTCGAATTGCGTCGCCATCATTTCGAGCAGCGTTTGCGTGAAAATATATTTCAGAATTTAACTACGATTAGAGGACTTTACATGATTAATTGCAGCATAACAGCAATTCCTGAGCATATATTTGCGCCACTGAAGACGCTGAGGAATCTCAATTTAATGGGCAATCAATTGAGTGAGCTGCCGCCTAAACTTTTAGCACAGCAGAAAGGTTTACAAACATTAAATTTGGCTGACAATCGAATACAAGTCATACCGCTAGGATTTTTTGTTGCAACCACCAGGCTAGTGAAACTAACATTGAGTCGCAATCGTTTGCGACATTTGGCTGCCAATGTACTACCGCCCTTAACGTCCATAATCGAACTAGAGATTGACAACAACATGCTACGCACAATAGCTTCGCATACTTTCGTCCAACCTAATCGTTTAATAAAGCTCGACCTCACAAATAACCAACTCGATTGGCCAGCTGAGGAAGATTGCGCGATATTTGACGGTCTGCAACGCCTACAACGTTTGCTGTTGCGCAATAACTCATTGCACTATCTGTGCGATCGGCTGGGCTCCAGCAACCACTCAACCAACGCGCTTTCCGTGCTCGATGTGCGTCAAAATCAGCTAAAACTAATCGGTTCACAATTAATCGACACACTGAATACAAGTGAGTCCTTCAGCGCCGTCCATCTTTCGGAAAATCCATGGGATTGTAACTGTAGCGCTCAGCCGTTACTTAGCTTTGTCAAGAACAATCGCAGACGGCTCAATGATGCGTCCGTCATGCGCTGTGAGAATGCACAGCTGGCGCCCTTGCTTGACCTCTCCTTTCGCGATTTTTGCCTGCCGGAGGTGGGTGTGCGCACTGTTGTGGTGGTCATATTAGTTTGTCTAATCGCTTTAGGTCTGACACTCACCACCACCGCGCTGTGTTACTACAAATATCGCATCGAATTGAAAATCTGGCTGTATGCGCATCGTCTGTGCTTGTGTTGTGTGAGTGAACGGGATGTGGATCGTGATCGCAAATGGGATGCTTTCATCTCGTATTCACATCACGATGAGGAATTTGTGGAGAAAGAACTAGTGCCGGGATTGGAGCAGGGTTCACCGCCTTTTAAGATCTGTATACATGTACGTGATTGGCTGGCTGGCGCTTATATACCCGAACAGATTATTGACTCCGTCGAGCAGTCACGTCGTACAATTATTGTATTATCACAGCATTTTATCGAATCCGATTGGGCTCAGATGGAATTTCGCACAGCACATCTGTGCGCCGTGAATGAAGGTCGCTCGCGTATTATCCTTGTGGTTTATGGCGAAATTAAAGAAACAGAGCTGTTGGATCAAGATCTGAGAGCCTATTTGAAGATGAACACCTACTTAAAGTGGGGGGATCCGTGGTTTTGGCGTAAAATACGATATGCGATGCCACATGTTCAGCGCAGCGAACTGAAACTCAACAGCAGTGCGGAGGAATTGGAAAAAAATTAGACATGAAAGGAACGAACTCTGTTAACTGACTTTCAAAAATGTTTTTCATTTGAATTTTAGTTTGTTCAGTCATCATGTAATATGTATATTGATTAGGTCTTACTTGCTGTGGTATTTAAAAACCTTTCATTTTATATAGCAGCGCTTACCTGAAATAAAAAAAAAGAAAAGGAGTTAATAAAAGTTTTTTTTGCTTTCAAGAACTTTTGAAGCGGTACTTTATAAATGTTAAAAGTAGTTCTACAAATATAAGTTATAGGAAAACCGTGACAAAAGAGTTAGGCGATTTCACTTTAACTTTACAGAGAGCTCCAAACGCCAAAGTTAAGAAGATGACCCCAGAATTTTAATTTTCCAGTTCAATATTTAGATAAATATTCTGATTAAAACCCACTACAACTACATATTTTACGAAAAATTATTTTATACTTACAAAATTGTATTCAGCCATCATTTGAGAGAGAAAGTCGGGCACCTCATAAGGTAATATTTGATCCTTTTATGAAGTCAATATTTTTCAAATATGCCTTAACAAAGTCTTTTACCATATCTCTAGGCCTAATTACACGCATCTCACAACTTGTTTTCAGAGCATCCTACTTTAATGAACGATTCCACAACTATATATTATAGGATTTCTGTTTACACAGATCGAACGTTCTTTAAGTAAACTCTCTATTAATCTTCGAAATGGCTCTAATATGGGTAAACTTCCTTTCAGCCGACGATATAAACTTTAAGACGAAGTACTCTCATACGATTACTGCAACAGCATACATAGGGCTTTCCCAAATTGGAAAGAACAGCTCAACAATTCAAATTGTTTATTATTACTCAACTGGTGCCAAGAACATATTAAATTTTCAGCAAAATTATATATTTAAAAATTAAATATAACAACGAATGCCAGTAAAACTAAAGTCATCGCATTTCTCTTAAACATTCTTGCTGGCATTTACCGCTCAAATATAGAGCAGGTGAGTGTGCTCTGTAATAAGCAGGCAGACAGCGTATGCTATCCTTATCTCATATAAACACGTGTTGGACATTACTACTGCTTCCAACTTTCATATTTCTTCCATTATCTTTTAAGAGGCAGCCCACGGAATTTCTGTCTGATGAGCGCACATATACTTTTATACGCACACAGAAACACAAAAATTCTAAAACATTGTTGTGGCTTTTAAACAAAAGAATGAAGGTTCCTACTTAAATATAATGTCTTGCATCTTAACGGTTAACGACATATCATAAATTTTTGTCGCTTTGCACTTGCATTATGCTTTAATGTCTGTAGATGATTTCAAGTGAAATATAATTTCAATTACAGTGTTAATTGATATTGTATTTAGCCATATTATGATTAGTATTTGGCAGCATCCTTAAAAAGTAAAGTAATCTTGTGTGTGAAAACTTCCATATGAATAATGTTTTAACTTTAAAGTAACGTACATTGAATTAAATTAAGTTTGATATAATTTCTGTTTAATATAATCGAATTCTGTTTGCGTTATGTCCTTACACTGTCCTTATACTCTCCCCCAAATCGATAAATGCAAATTTGTTGTTTCTTTAAAATTGCTGAAATTCTTCTGATTGCCTCTTGACTCTTATAGTACAAATTTTTTTTTAAATATTCTTTGGTGAGCATAGAATTTTGCCTGATAGCGAATTCACTAGGTCACATATAAAAACAATATCATAAGGAATATAAGAAGAAATGGAATTACATTTAGTTAAAGTACTAAGTTATATAGTAAAAGTGATCAGATGTATTCGTAGATTCGAAATGATTCCAACCATAAGTAGAAAACGATATGTAGGAACATTTTTCTCTGCTGGACAAAATCTTACATATTGGGCCTGTAGCTAAACTCGTGCGCTTTTTTCAAAATTAAAATGGTTACTTAAAAAAATCTTTTCAATAGTAGTTTTCAAATATTACCCACCTAAATCTATAACATTTTTCATCTTTCCGGCAATTTGTGAATTTCATCCTAAAACACGGGCGTCTTAACGACCAAGATTAAATGATGTGAACCCTATTCCAGTGGGTCGGATTCAGAAGATCATAAAACCCACCAGCGCCTAATCTTGGCGAGCTGGATAATCAGCTCTGCCGCTGCTTTGGCTGGTTGGTCAGGTTTCACATACATGTATAATTTTTTGCGTTTAGAGTTGTCGTATTAGATCCATTTTTCATCCCCTGTTCAAATTCGTTACAAACACGATTTTTTTTTGCTAATGAATACATCCGAAGGCTTTTAAATGACTTCCAAAGATTTTGCCTGCTGTTCTTGCGTTTGGCAACAATCTTCATCGATTTATGTTGCTAGTTCCTCATCTTCAAACATTTTAGGCCACCCAGGATGTTTTTCGTCTGTTTTGTTTGGCGGAACAAAGGTCCAACAGTGAACTGGTGGTACTTTGAAAGAGTTTGAGCTGTCCTATATCTTCAAGGTTATTCCTCTAATGCCTACTCGTACATTCCGGGGAACCACACAAGTAAAAACCTTGACATTCTGACAATTTATGTAAAATATAAAGGTTTTCTTTATCATTGCCTGCCAAGGGATGATGGATATTGGAAAAAAATATTTAAAACTATATCTTTACCTTCACATAGTTGACTAACAACTCGAATATTCCTTTACTTAATGTCGTTCAATCGAACAACAGCTTCCCCAGTAGAAACATGTACCCAAGCTATTACAAAATTTCTGTTGCTGTCAGCCGTCGGCATGTTCAATAAATACTACTTCGCGGCAGCCATTGTCATATAAATATTTAATTTTTTCCGGCCTGCGAGACCATTTCTTATTTATCTGCATACAGTTAGTACTCGTGCGGCGAGTATGCTTCATTAGACGTGGGGCGCAACCTAGGAAGCGCCGCAACTGCACCAAAGAGCTAGTAATTCTTCGCACGTACTCTGCAGTAAAGAAAGATATGTGGGCACTTCTGAGATAGTTTCAAGCAATTCAGGTTCCGTAGGTTTTTTCTTACATTTTTAGTTTTCTTTCACATATAAAATTTTTCATACAGACTGTGTGGTTTTTTTATTCTCTACTTTTTTTTTTGTACGCAGTGCTGCTTTTTTGTCGTCTCAATATCACACGCATCTGCCATTAAGTGCTTTTTCGCGCTATTGTTGTTGTTGTTTTACAGCAAGTGTTTTCTACACACATCACGCCTTTTTTCGCAGCACTACCCTCGCCGCCTATTGTTTATATTTCCTTTCAATTTGCGCTCATTCATGAGTAAAGTGCTCATTCACACATTACTTGCCCAACACTGTACACACCCCTCCGCTTGTAGCCTCCTTTTACTTAACGAGCGATGCACATACTCACATGCCACACACATTCCGTTATCCTTGCTGTCAGGCCTATGCGCATATTTTACGGTTACTCATACACGCCGTTGTCTGGTCTTGTTTGCTTTTGGTCTTGGCATACTTCCATTGTTTTTTCGCGTAGTTTTTGTTGCATTTTTCTTCATACTTTCAGTTTGCATCTATTTTTGCCACACAAAAGGATTCCTCTTAAAAAAATTCTTTTGTTCCAAGTTGTCGCTTATCGCGTGCTTTTTTCTCTTTGTTTTCAAAGATACTCGCAGTTCTGGTAGGCTTTGTTTACTCGTCTAGAGCGTTATGAGGGGCGTGAGATGATTATCGCATAAATGTTAATGGCCAATTTTTTGTGAGTCAAGTGCAGAAGAGAGACATAATAAGGATTCAGTTGAGAAACCGATTTGTGTGACAATTAACGGTTTTAAGGGAAGTGAAAGCAGTTGACTCAATTAGAAAGTAAATTTAAATTAGGTAATCAATTTGCTTTGTGCAAGGTGGTTCATTTTTAAAGTTAGGAATTGTTTGTAATGTCAAGTGGAGTCAAGTTTTTTCTGATCATATGTGGCGTAGAGACCCTTTGTGTCTTATCCAGTACTACAAAAGAGGGCGTATGTGTTAATTGGCATATATCTTGCCTTAAAATTTAAGAAAATACCGTAGAAAGTGATCTCCACTTCTCCACTGTCTATTCTATTTCTAATAATTCTTGTGAGCAATAGTAAGTCTTCATATACTTTCTTGGTTAACGCAAGCACTGGTTAGAATGCTGGTTTCTAGTATTACTATATTGATAGCAACATCAAGCGAGGGCAAGAAAAGAGTGCACGGGATATTTGCTTACAATCAAAGCTCTTTAACCTTAGTTCCGTTCCCAATCAAACCCATAGCAGGGCAGCGTTACCGCTGGGACACCAAAAACTCCATAATTTATTACTTTGGTTGAATGAACCCTCTCGTTCCATTATTATGTTGTTCGCTTGCCGTTGTCAGTAGTACGGCTACGTTTTATGTAAGCTGAGTGTTGGCTGAATAACTATTAGTCGCAAAGCCTTTCAAAAATTAGTTCTACTTGTAAGCCCGTAGCAAAGTTTTCTGGTAGCAAGGCTCTGGTTCTGACTCATATTGGTGCTGGTTCGGCAAAGACTAAAAAACTTGCTGACAATCGTCGAAATAGTCTTCAATGTCTTCCACTTTAGCCACCCAGGTGAACTATTTGGAATTAAAATCTATCACATTATCAATTTTATGAGAAGCTCAAGATTTGTGGAAGTTTAATGCATTATCGGACGTTTTTGGCATCAAAAACGACTTCATTGCAAATGTCCAAGTTTCCCAAAAGAGAAGCAGCCACAAAACATAACATTATCTCACCTAAACAAAATTGTTTTTTAGACTGGTTACATCAATACTACCAATATTTATTGATATCCTGCTCTTATACTATATCAGCATAGCCCACTAATTGAGCAATCGAGAGAGTTTCAGCAATTAAACCCACATTTGTTTTCAATGTATCATTTAATTAAACAAGAAAATGCTCAATTAGTATTTAATTGTCAATTATTTGAAATTAAAGAAACCATGCAACCCTGCTAGAACAAAAAATTAATGACAGAAAATCAAAATATTTTGTACGATGCCTCGAAAAACATTAACTGTTTAATATCTGGTTAATTTTAAAATTGTTTGA